TATCACTCTTGTCTGTCTTGAGACTAGAACGAAATCTTTGTCTTCTTCTTATCTCTGAATCGTCAACACATGGAATGGAACATAGGAGGTGCTCAATAAATATGTCCCAGCCCAGTGCATGAATCCTTCTGTCAACCTTCAAGTTGTGTGACCTTGGGCAAGTTAATTGTCTGGACCTCAGTGGCCCCATCTCTGAAATGTGGAGGGTGACCAGTGAGAAGGGGAAGATACAAAGAGATTTGAAATTGCTGCCCCACTGTTCAGTAAATGTGTGGAATAATGTTAAAACCCGGCCCCGTCTCTGACCCCAGGCCCACAGGCTTCCAGTCTGGGGTTTACCAGACCAGGGCTGAGCTTAATGTGACTTCTGGGACTCAGCAGTACCTGCCTGGCCTGGTGGGCTTCCCTGGCTTCCCCTTGTTCCCACCTAGGGGGCCCCTGGCTAACCCTGTCCCTGGCAGCCTGTCAGTGAGCCTTGTCCTTGGTTGCCCCTATTGCCTTGGTTGCCCCCAGGCTCCTGCTGGGAGCCCTCAGCCCACTGCCTACCCTGCCCCTCCAGCCTCCCTCCCTAGCTCCTGTTTATTATTTAACCTGGAATGGTGTCTGGACACATGCTTTGCATGAAAGCAGCTATTCAGATGGTGTTAGGCAAACAAAAGATCTGACCTGTCCAGACCCAGGCTCTCCTGACCACAGCCACACCTAACCAGGAAGCACTGGACCCTCTATGACCTGTGAGCACCCCCACCCTGGCCCACAGAACTCTACTGCCAGCCAAGCAAGGTTGGATCCCATCTTCCCTGGGGCAGGACTCACTTGATGGAAGGCGGAGTCAGATCCCAGGGGAGTGGGAAGGCTGCTAGCCAGACAGCCTCCTCTGCTGGTCGTTCCCTCAACATTAATGGAGTCAGTGCTGGGTGCTGCCACCATGATTCAATGGAATCTTACCTGTAGGGTCTGATGGAATAAGCCGAGGGTTCATGGGCCATGCAGACTTAGGTTTGAATCTGAAGTTGCCGCTCCATTCATTCATTTGGTACATACTGAGCTGCTGCACCTACCTTGTGCCAGGCACTGTGCTAGGCAGAGGTGAGCAAGGCCTATCTTGAAACTGAGAGTCAGGTGGGATCAGATCGTGTTGCTGTGTGTTCTTGGCAAGTTCTTTGCAGGCTGTGAGCCTGGGGTTCTCCTCAGGGATAGGCAGATCCTGGCCTTGGGGTGCTTTTGTGTGATCTCCGTGATCATACTTGTGGAAGGGCCCTGGTCAGGAAGGGGTTGCCATCTCCCTTTGGCAAATGTGAATGGCAGCCCTCCTGAATCTGGACCCCTTTGCCCCACTGTTTTGGGACCTGCCCCTAGGAACTCCATGGAGACCCCCATGGGCTGAGGAAGAAGAGAGGCCCCTGGAACAGGTGAAGGGCTCTGATGCTTTTTGGGACAAGCCACCCCACCACCACCCCATCCCAGTCCAGAATCCATGAAGGGCACTGACTGAGCAAGCTCGGGTGGGTCACAGGACCTATCCTGGTGCTAATGTTCTTCATCCCCACCCCCATGTTCTCCAAGGGAGCTGTTGGTTCAAAAAAGAGGAACCCTGCGCTAAGTCAGGCTCACAGGAGGAGGGCTTGGTTCAGCCTCATTCTTTCATTCATTCACTCCTTCATTCATTCAACAAATACTTAAGGAATGTGTACCAGGCACCATTCCAGGTATAGAGGATACACCAAGGAGCAAAAAGACAAAAATACCTACAAAATACATAAGTAGGTAAATTATATGGCACATTAGAAGGTGGGGAAGAGCAGTCCAGGCAGTGGGACCAGCAAGTGCAAAGGCCCTGAGATGAGAGTGAATTCAAGGAACAGCAAGATAGCAACATAGTGAGTGGAGTTGACAGGGTGGGACATGAAGTCAAGAGGTGGCGGGTGGCTGGGGGGGGTGCCTGATCAGGGATCTCATCAGCCACTGGGAGGACTTTTCCTTCTTCTGATCACTCAGAAACCAGGGAGGGGAGGGAAGCATGTCCCTACTCTCCTGGAGAAGGGAGCACATGCTACCCTCACACACCCTCTGCCAGTCTTGGCCTTGTGGTTGGCTGCATGGAGGAGGTGGCTGAGTCAGGATGTGAGAGGGACAGTCTGGGGCGGAGGATATGTATGGGTCAGGAGTCAGCCGTGACAAGGGTTTGTGGTCCTTTGCAGTGGGTGTCTCCTGGTTCACCCAGCAGCTTCTGGACTAGTAACCCTAGTTCCCAGGCAGATAATTGAAGATAGAGACTAAGGTTCATATTTTAAATATGGGAGACCACAGCCCCAGGAACTGGGACTGTCTAGAACCTCAGGGATTCATTTCTGGTAGAGAGGCCTGCTCTTCAGATAGCTGTGGATGGGGCCAGTTCTGGGCAGCAGCGCAAAGGGGTCTGGGAAGGCTGTAAGATGCTGGTGGTTCCTAAATCTGGCTGTGAAAATGCAGATTCCTAGGCAGAAGAAGACTGTGCAAAGACTCTGGGTAATTGGATTGATTAAGTCTGGGCTAGAGCCCAGGAATCTGATTTTTTACTTTCTCTGTTGACATAGTACCAATAATAGGTTTGAGAGTGACTCTTCAGGCCACTGGCGTCCTGGTGGCCTCTGTGCCATCAGACCCTTCACAGCCCTCAGCCAGGGACCTGGAGGCACAACAATGGTGTCATGTGCCTCTTCCAGCCCTCCACCCCCAGGCCAGAGGGGCTGGGCTGAGGAAGGCACCCAAGCAGTGTGGTGGGTATGTGCTGCCTGCTGCCCACCCTCTCCAAGGAGGCCCCACCAGGCTTCAGGGAAGGCCAGACAGAAGGCACTCATGCCCACCTGGCACGTAATTATGGGTGGGGGTGGGGTGTAGGATGTATGGATACTTTAGTAGGGGCAGGGTACGGGGGTTAGTAGATGGGGAGGGGGGGTGGAGAGATCACTGAGCCACAAAACCCAAGCGTGATGGAGGTCGTGGGGTGCGTTCCTGTCAGAGCAGAGAGGAGCCTTTAGTAGGAGGAAGTGGAGGTGGGGGCCAAGGAGAGTGAGATGGATAGACTTACTGGCCAGTGGGAAAAAGTGGGACGAGCCAGATCTGACACATCTGCGTGATCCCTGGCGCCGTAAATCGGGTAGATGGATGGACACGTGGATGGATAGAAAGGTGGGTGGATGGAGAGACCGATGGATGGCTGAGTGAATGAATGGCTGCGTGGGTGGCGAGCGTCCTGGAGCGGGGCGGGCCAGCAGAGCGCTCAGTCAGCTCCATGGCTCGGCTTGGCGCCCACCAGCTGCGCTCAGAACCCCTCTTACCGCCGCCACGCCTCGGGGCAAGTAATTACGTGCCCCCGGGGCTCTGGAGTGGCTCCTGGGAATACGACGAAGAGGGTCCGCGCTACCGCTGCCAGGCTCTTGGGCCACTTTTAGCGCGCCGGCAGGCCGCCCCTCGGTCGCGGGGCGAACCTGGAGGTGCGGTCTGGCCCCAAGGCCCCCGTCCCGCTCTTCTTTGTCTTGGCCTAGTTCTTGGCAGTCGCCGGGCCGCGACCCGCCTCTCCGGGCAGAGCCTCCCCCCATCCCCCGGCCCGCATGCTTCTGGGTTGCCCCAGGATCTCTGAGTCTCAGTTATTGCTGCCCCCCAACCCCCGCCCGTAGGCGTCTCTCCCCGTCGGGCAGGGGCCCTAAACTCTGCCTTTAGGACCGCGGGGCCGGGAAGTGGCAGGATCTCCAAGCTGCGTCTCTGATGCGGCGAGGGGAGGCGGGGGATGAAGGCCCTCTCTTCTCCGCCTTCTCTCCCCGCCCCACCCCCTCGCTACTACACGTCGCGCTGCGCCCCGACCCCAGCGCCGCCTGTTCGCGCCTTAAGCAGCTCTTCTGCCGCGGTGCGATCCCCAAGCCTCGAGGGCTAGCCCCCACCCGCCAGGCCTTAGACCCCACGCAGAACGCAGCCACACACACGGCAGCCTGCAGACACCCACCACAGCCTCTCACCAACCCAAAGCCCCGCACAGGCGCACTGCCCCCTACATGCGCAGACCCACATCCCCACGCAACCGCAAGCTCACTCACAAACAGATCCACACGGACACACAACGTCCCTGCGAACACTCAACCCCACATAGGCACAATCCCACCCACGTAGTACCTCGCGCAGTCACATAGTCCTATAAACAATCGCACGCAGACACACAACCCCTCGCAGGCACCGCATCACTCAGTCCCGCCGAGACCCAGAAACACATTCACAAGCTTGTATCCAGACCACCCCCCCACGAGCCCCGTGACATTCACTCCTAGGACAGACCAGAAATATACAGCCACATTGATACAACACACGGACCTAAACGCACAGCCAAGATCTCACCCGCAGGCTTGTAAGTCACTGGAAAAATATTAAAGCGTTCCCTCCCTCCCCTTCTCTATCTTTGACACATACACGCCCGCGCGCGCGTGCGCGCGCACACACACACACACACACACACACACACACACATACAGACACACAAACATTCGCACTCACACCCCCCAGTCCCTCAGCGCCTCGGAGCCTCGCAGCCGGTGACCCCGAGCCCCCGCCGTGAGAGCCGCGGGAGCGTCTCCCCGGCGCCCCCTCCTCCCGTTCCCTTCACGAGCTCACCACTCCTCCCCCGCCTCCTCCCTCCCTGCCCCCTCCTTCTCCCCTCCCCCGCGTCTGGGGCGCGGGCTGCGCGCAGCCAAGCCCCCTCGTCGCGCGCCCCTCCCCGCGCGCGCCCCGCGCCCGCATCGCGCTTGCCGAGTGGATGCGGCCACCGGGCCGTCTCTAATTACCTCCTGTCCCCCGGCGGCCCGTGAATAATGGCTACTGAGGGCGCTCGCAAGGACTGCTGAGAAGGAAACGCGGGGCGCGAGAGGCGCGGCGCGCGCGAGAGCGCGAGGGAGAGGAGCGAGCTCGGGGCCGCCGCGAGCGGCTGGCGAGAGAAAGGAATCGTGCGAGCGCTCACATTTTTTTCTCCCAAGGATCTCATCTGGCCGCCGCGTTCTGGAAGAGGCGAGGGGGAGAGCGCGCGAGAGAGGAGGAGAGAGACGGCGGAGACAGGGAGACGGCGAGACGCTCAGCGCCGGCGCCCGGGAGACCCAGGAGGAGTCCGCAGGTATTGTTGGTGGCGGAGCTTTGTGTCTTCGGCGGGCCGCTCCGGGCGGGAGGGCTCCCCGAGCCCCCAGCCCGCCGCCGCGCTCAGACCTGCCCCGAACCCTGAGCTGCCGGCGGAGGTCGCCGCCCGCCACGGGCACCCCTCCCGCCGCGCCGTGATCTTGGCTGGAGTTGCGGATTTGCCTGTTTGGGGGTTTTCCACGCCGGTTGAGGGAATCGGTCTTAGGAGAAGGAATTTCTTTCCTTTTCTTTTCTTTCTGTTTTTCTTTTCTTTTTTTTTTTCCTTTTTTGGCCGCAGTTTGTTTGTAATGGGGATTCCCCCCTCCCTTTCCCTCCACAATGCATTGGTGAACGGTGTTGGCGACAGTGGCCCTGGCGGAAGGTATGGGGCCGAGATGGCGGGGCTGGTGGCCGCGGACTGAGGGATGCCGGAGAGGAAAGGAGTTCTGTTCAAGTTCGCAATCTGCGCTCCGAAGCTGGTCGGGCCGGGGAGGGCCGTCAGTGCGCCCGATCCTGCTCCGGGCAACCGATGCGAAACTTCCCGGGAGCGCGGCCTCCGGAGGGACTCGGCGCCCCTGACGCCTCCAGGCGCTTCCTCCGGCCGGCGCAGCCCCTCCTCGCCGCCCGCGAGCGCTTAAGGTCGCGCTCTCCCCACCCCCGCCTTCCTCCCTCCTCCAGCGGCTTCCGGATCTGGACGGAGCTGCAGGAGCAGCTTCAAACACTTCCCCTGGAGACCCCTCCCCACTCCCCGTACCGGAGCCTGCCCGGGAGCCCCCCTGCCCTGAGCCCCGGTCTCACGCACGGTCGAGTGGCTAGGCTGACAATGAAATCTCGCGCCTCTGCTGTGCGGGGGAAGGGGTCGTAGCTCAGTCTCTCCAGGGGCTGCTGACCCGGGCAGGGGGAGGGGGCTCTCGGGGGAAGGGCTTGTTTGGGTTAGAGACGTTGACTTGGGATGGCGCCGGGGCCGGGAGGGGCCTGGGAGTGTGCGCGCAGAAGAGAGAAGCTTGGGTTCGCGGCCGGGGGTCATGGATTCTAGCCCCTCTTGGGCTTGGTGATTGGCTGGTGACTTCAGGCACGTCGAGGGCCCCTGTAGCCTCAGCCTCCTCCCCTCCTGTACAATGCGGACTGAAGGAGGTGATCCCGAGGGTGATGTGCTTGTGTGACGAAGTGTTTGTCTCCTGCATGGCAGACACCGCTCCGGTGACCCGGAGATCCGGACCCCTCGCCCCCTCCCTCAAGGGCCGGGGGAGGGAAAAAGGAGTGGGGAGGAAAGCGGTGGGAACTTCTTCGTTTCCCGCTGGGGCCATAGGAAGGGAGTGGGAGCACAGAAAATTTCTGGGGACCGCAGTTCTGACGGGGGGGGCTCACTCCGAAGGGGGCTGCTGGGTCAGAAGCTTCCGGGCACTCGAAGCCCCCGATTCTTTTGCTCCTTGGTGGGGGGGATGGGGAAGAGGGGAATGTGGAAGAGGTGAAGGGCTGGACGGGGCCTGGGGGTGGAGAGTCCATGAAAATCAGCCTTAATTGGATTCCCAGGCGAGGAGCCCAGGGCGATAAAGGTGCCTCCTCCCCTTCCTCTTCCTGGGCCAGAGAGCTAGGCTCAGAGACCCCGAGCTGGCAGCCCAGGCACGTGAAAGCATTTCATGTCCCTTCTTAAAGAGAGGATCCTGGGGGAGAGGGGAGGCACCTTTTGAGAGGGAAGGGGGACCGGACAGTTTTCAGGCTGTTCTGTCTCTTGGTCCAGGAATAGAAGGAGTTAACCCTCCCCCAGAAATCTGTCAGGCCCCACACAGCAGGGACACGTTGTTGGACCCTCTGACTTGCTAACAGCCTGACACTGGCTGACAGGAGCTAGCAGATTCTAGGCCTTGTACTCCCCCTTCGCAGCCCAGACAGGACCAGGCTGGGTGGGGCCTTGTTCAGGGACTTTGGGGGAGGCAGAAATCAGAGCCCAGAGTGGGCCACACAGCCAGGCAGTGGCCTTGTGGCCGGGAGGGAAGAGGGGTTACAAGCCAGGGCCACCAGACACTGGAAGGGGAGTCTGGAGGGAAGGGGGAGCCCTTTGCCCAGGTTGGGGAGGCTCCTGAGCCGGCTGGTTCTGCCCAAACCTTTGCCCTACCCCCAACCCGAACTTCTCCACCCAGCTGAAGGCCTGGCCCTAAGGGTGAGTTTCTGACCTGTAGGTGGGACTGTGAGATGCTGGCTGCTGCCAACGGACTCAGGATGCAGGACCTAAACCAGCAGGATTCATTGCTGCTCATGCCCCAGGCCTGTTAGGGCACAAGCCCTTTAGTGGAGAGTTATTTGTGGGGCTTCCTTCCCTTCCCCAGACTGTGAGTTCATTTGCAAGAACCCTTTTCTTCCTATTTTAGAGCCCCCAGAGCCTGGCACATGGCAGACACTGACAGTGCCCTGTGTTTGGCTGGACAAACACAGGATTGAATGAATCCATAGTGAATGAATGAATGAAAGGGGAAAGTTTCTCAATTGGAGGCCTCCAAGTCATTTTTGTTTTTGTTTTAAAAAAAAAAAAAACACCTTTTTCAAATATGCCTTTTTAAAATAAGGTTCACAGAAAATCTGAAAAATAGAAAAATAAAAAAGGTTCTTGACAATCTTAGGGGGTCTGACAATGTTCCTATTTTGATGTAGTTCTTCCCAGTCTTTTTTGACGTGGTGGTTGGTTTGTTTTCTAAAGACTTTGGTGTCGTTGTCTATATTAAGATGTATATCCTGCTTTCTTTGCTGGGTGATAACGCCAGCCTTTTCCTGTTTTGTAACCAACTCCTCATAAACACCAGGGTTAATGTCTTCAGGCTTTTCCAATCAAGTGGATGTGCCATAATTTGCTTAATATTCCCCTTTTGTTCAGCATTCTGGATGTTCCTGACGAATGACGTAGTGGATGTATCTTGTGTAGAGAGCTTTTCTTGATGTTTGAGATGATTTCCTCAAAATGACGTTCTGATGCTGAAGGCTCCGACGCGCCTGCAGTGGGAGAAACAGGCTTCTCTAGTTTTCCCTGGATAAGTGGGGCACTGTTCTCTTTCCTTCACCACCATCTAGAACCTTCCACCAGAGCCAAAAGGAGCCTTGGCAATGACTCACCTGTCTGACCGCCCGCCTTTGACAGAAGAGGAAACCAGAGCCCAGACAGGGGCAGTGAATCCTAAGGTCACACAGCAGCCAAGAACTGGCTACTGCCCTTTTGGTTTTTGTGCCTGGGAAGGGTCCCTGGAGGTCCTTAAGGCTAGCCTTGACCATTTCACAGATGGGGGGACCGAGAGGGCAAGCTTGCCGATGGCGCCACCCACTGGAAAGGCTCTTCAGCCCTCCTGTGTCACCCGCACTGGGCATGTCCATGGGATCTGGCTGGCCATGGGCTTCCTGTTGCCCCTCCTCACAGCTCCCCTCCCTCTTTGCCATCCCATCCTCCAGAAGGAAAAGCTGAGGATCCTAAGCAGCTGCGGTGAGAGGGGTGGGACTGGAGAACTCTGGGGACCACAGTGGTTGTGCCCCTGACCTGTGCCTCAGTTTGTCCAGAGACCTAGACCTGGATCCATTCGGGACCCAGGGGCAGGTGTTGGCACTGGAATGTGGCGTGAAGGAATGGGAGGACAGGGTCTTAACTCCCCCTCTGGCCCGAAATTGACCCCAGGAGATCCCCCTGGGGAGGAGGGGAAGTGGGAAGGAAGGAAGACGGTGGAAGCAGAGAGGGTAGGAGAGAAAGAAAAGTGAGAAGGGAGGTCGGAAGGAAGAAAAGGAGGGAGGAAAAAGGAAAGGAGAGAAGGGGTTTGTGTAAAATAAAGAAGAGAGCAGCCACCACCCTCAGGCCTCACTGGGCACCCCGGGGAGTGGCTGGGGACCGTGACCCCAGTGGGGGCGTCGGGCTGGTTCGTGCTGGACACCCTGGGTGGGCTCTGCAGGGCCGATTGGGACAGCTGTTTGGGGGCCAGGGGTGGGAGGCTCCAGTCAGAAGGACCCAGACCAGTGGTGTCAGGGAGGCAGGACTTGTCAGGGGTGGCTTCTCTGTTCATTGGATCAGGCAGGTAGCAGGGTACCCCCAAGTTGGAGGCTTTGTGCGGGCAAGGTAATTATGGCTCTGACTCCTCGTCAGAGGACAGGGACTGTCGGTTCCTCCCCCTGCCAGCATGCCAGCCATGGAGGTTAAGAGAAGCCCTGTCGTGAGTGTGGGTATTTGGACATTTCTGTGGTGTGTCTCTGTGCTTGGGCGCATCCCCAGGGGCATGTGCACATCTGTGTGTGTCTCTGTGTGTGTACGTGTGGTGTGTCTGTATGTGTGTTCATCTGTGGGTGTCTCTGTTTTTGTGGTATGTCTGTGTGTGTGTGTGTGTGTGCACATCTGTGTGCCTCTAATCCTGTTTGTATATTTCTTAAGGGGTCTGTATGTGCCTTCCAGCTTGGGCACATGTTGTGCTTGCATACTTCTGTGTGTGTGTGTCCCCCTGTGTGTGCCCTGTCTGTTGGTGTGTGTGTATGTCTGTGAGTCTTTGATCTCATTTGTGCATTTCAGGGGGAGGGGAATATGCCCCAGGGCTTGGGCGCTCGCATGTGTGCGTGTGTGTACATACACTTTCCTCCTAATGGCCCCAAGAGGGATCCAGGCATCAGGCTTTTGTACTGCTCTCAAGGTTGTGGCTAGGGTGGGTGAAGCAGGAGACGGCCTTCAACTGGGAGGGGTGGAGTGGGGGAGGCAAAAGAAAATCTTAAAAGACTGTCTTCCTCTGGTCTCCAAGGAGATCAGCCTGTGAAATGATCCGCACGTTAATTAAAAACGATTATATCCTGATTGAGCCATTCCTGCACACATCCCCCAGCCAGAGAGAGGATGGGCTGAGACCAGAGGATGCAGAGTGGGGTAAAGTCCCACAGCAGGGCATAGCCTGGTGTAGCTCCAGCTCACGGAGGGGAGTAGAAGCTTCGGGAGGAGGCAGTGGTGAAGTGTTTAGGGGCATGTGCTCAAGTCAGATTCGTGCTTTTCCT